TTGGGTTTTCGTCGCTTGGCAACGACGTTGTTAAACAAGCTAATTCACTTCGTAAGCTTGGCAACCAGGTTACCGTTTCTTTTTTTTTTACCTCTGTTTTTTTGGCTGTAACCATGAATGGTGGTAGAGTGGATCATGTTGTGCGGGGTTGAGAAGCCTCACTCCGCGCAAGGGGGATGATCGCACTACGTTGTGTTAAATTGGTCAAGCACCCTCGAGGCNCCGGCGTGCTCCGTCCCGGCTTTGTAGGGATGCGAGTTCAATGGTCTAACGACTACGGCATGCACGACTATGAGTACACCCCCCCGCCCCCTGTGCAGTAGCTGATGTCAGCAAACTCTGCTAACTGGGTGGGTTATACCCCGGTGCAAGCCCTTTTATGCTCTTTTCACACTCCTTTGAATACTAAGGGTGTACTCGTGGAAGGAAGCGGCATTGTACCTTCCACCTGACGATCGCATCGAAGGTCCCCTCGCGGGTAACATCGCAGACCACGACCGCGCCTTTCGCTCGTCGGAAGTAGGCGCGCGTCAGCTTGGCGAACCGGTCCTGACCTGCGATATCCCACAGCTGCAGTCGCACCTGCAAACCAAGATCAACAAGCATCAGACGAGGGTATATGTAGCATGTCGCGGCGAGGGCGAGAGGAGGAGGGCAGGATCATCCATCACTGCCAGCATAAAAACACTAACAACCACAGCACCAGCACCAGCACCAGCAAATCCCCTCTCATTTCTCTTTCGCGATACAGCGAGTGCTTCACACACCAATACCGACAGACGCCACACACACACATATGCATACGCGTTAGCCCGGTCGAAAGCAAAGTAATATTAAAAAAAACAAATATAGGGTTGCCACACCCACAGCCGTCATAGGTGAGGGCAGCAACAAGCCTAGGGTTCTACCGCAATCCAACCTGTCCATCGACGACGACTGCATTCATCATCTGCCAGCCAGCCAGCCAGCCGGCCGGACAAAGCGGATCGGTGGCAAAGAAAGAGGCAAGACGCTAGCGTACGGCGGTGGCTCCGGTATCAGAGGGTGGCGTGACAAAGGCCCTCGACCCTCTTATACCGGAATAAGAGGATACCCAGCTTTACAATAGAGGGTAAAGTCCGTGACATCCCATTTCAACCCTTTCCTATCGGAGCCACGACTGGGTCGATGATACCCACAACCACGAGGCCCACACGCTCAATAAGCAGAAAGGACACACTGCTGTCGTCCAACTCCTGCACCCCCCCTGTCGGTAGAACCTTTTTTGCGTAGGAAGGGTGAAAAGCGTTTTTTCTTTGTCCCGCAATAAGACTGACGTGTTTTCATTGGTCAGTCGGTTTAGTGCGGTCGATGCTACAAAAAACAAACACACACACACACACACACTTTGCTGTTGCTTTTGTTATTATACATCTGGCTGTCTGCCCATCTTCCGCCTCTTTCTCCTGTTGGCTCCGTTACTCCCATGCCCTGGTGCGTAGTGCCTGGTGCTGGTACGTTGCCCTTTGATTATTTTCTTTCTTTAGGCGGGTGTGGGAAGCGTCCACCTCTCTCTATTTTTGTTTTCGTTTTATTTTGATCGGTTTCCGAGGGCTCGTTTCTCGACCTGTCGGTGCGGTAGCTGTTCTTTTCTTTCTATCATTATATTTCCTTTTTTCCGAGTGGTTTGTACCCTATTTTTGTTTTGTTTCCCCGCGGCGTCGTATGTGCCGGGTTTTGAAATCCACGGGCTCCCTATTTTTTGTGGACTATAGAGCTAATGTGAGAAGCAACAACAACAACATCACCACACAACTCCTGGGCCCCTCCTGTCGGTGTAACCCTTTGACTAATAAAGCATGTTTGCGTTTTCCCCCCTATGCATCACTTGCGTATATTGATTGGTCAGCCGGCTGCAGCGCGGTCGATGCCAATTCAACACACACACATACACAGACACACACCTGTCGTCCGTTCTCGAGGGAAACGTCCTTCATGGCGTAGTCCGCCCCCACGGTGGAGTTGTAGTCCGAGCTGAAACGGTTGCTCACGAACCGGCTGATGATGGACGACTTGCCGCACTTGGCGTTCCCGACCACGAGAACCTTGCAGGTCACCGTCGGCACTGCGCCGCCGCTGGGCGGTTCTGCCGCCGCCGCCGGCGGGGCAGGACAAATGCCTCCGCCCCCGCTGTCAGCGCCGCTCACGGCGGTGGCGACGGCAGTAGCAGTGCCCGCGCCGCCGCGCAATAATCTACGCTGGTTGTCGTTGTTGCTGCTGTTGCTGCTTTTGTTGATGCCGGAGTCGCCGAGGATGCCCTCGGCTCGGCTGTTGTCGGGATGCTGTTGATGTGATCGTCGTCGTTGTTGTTGCTGTCCACCCTTTCTAGGCGAAGGAGGAACCAGGGACGAGTCGGGGCTTGGTGAGGCACGATGGGAAGCCGGCGACAACAAGGTACCGCCGCTGTTTTCACTTGCCCCAGCGACTGCTGTAGGGTAGTCTCGTGCTGCTCTCGCCGGTCCAGTGCTGTCTCCTCCTGCAGCTGCTTCTGCTGTCGCTGGCCCACGCCCTCCTCTATCCTGCTGCCCCCTCTCTTCTGCTGCGATCGCTCCCCCTCCTCCTCCTCCTCCTCCTGCCGTAGATTCCACCTTCACCTCACCATCCCAAAGCGGGCCAGTCTTCGCAACTCCATCAACACCATCACTACCGTCACAACCACTACTATCGCTGTCCTCTCTCTCCCTCTCAGCAGCAGTACCGCTGTCGTCGGTAAACGTGACGGACCCGAGATCATCCGAAAGCACCGAGGCACTGCCGTCGCCATTGCCGACATCGCCGCCGCCGCCACAGGACGAGTCTTGGATGGAGCTCAGCGTGGCGTCGGAGCTGGCAGCGGGCGAGCCGGGGGTAGCCATCTCGCGCCCGGCAAATCCGCCGCCACCACCACCGTGAGGTGTTCCTGTCAGGCCCGCAATGGTGAGGGCGTCGAGTCGCGTGGGCATCATCGAGGCCGCCTTGGTGTTGTTCAGGCTTGGTTCAGGGCTCGGCGCCAGGCTGTGGGATTCCGAGTCGGGGAAGGGGATTGGGGGGATCGGCAGTGCGGGGAGATGAACACTGCCATGGCCCGCTTCTGTAGGCGCATGGTGGAGCGAGAGCTTCCGGGACAGACGTGCTGGCGGCGAAGTGTCTGTGAACGTGTCAATCACAACAGGTGTTGCTAATACAGTAGTGCGAGAATTCACCCATTAGTTCGGCCCTGAGTCGACATGCCTGGAAAGAGGGATTCCGCTGCAGCAGCAAGGTATGCATTGTAAGGAACTGCGGTAAACCAGAGAGTTTTAATGGGTGCTGGGTGTAGCTGGTGTGTTGCGGTGGAGCGGGCGGGGAAGCTGCTATGTTGCGGTTTCTGCTGCTGCCTGCTGCTACCACTTTGAACTGTGGACAATGGTTGTTCTAACGGGGGGGGGGGTTGTGTGCGAGAAAGCGACGAGGAGGTGAGAATCTACATGAATGAAACCACACTCGAGCAGGCAAGGAACACAAGAGGTGCGCGTACTGGTCGCCACCATGCCACTGGGGGGGGGGGTTTTCTTTGGTACGAGTACGAGGCACCCAACAAGGGCGTGGGCGCGTGGGCGCGTGGGCGCGTGGGCGCGTGCTTCCCGTACGCCACACAAAACATCGCACCGTCTCAACCAATTTTCAAAGCTCCATTAATTGAGGCGTTGGAACCACCTCGTCGAGGCCTTGCCGAAGCACAATACAGACCTAGCAAGTGCGGTGATATATATGATTGTGGGTTTGTCTCGAATGGTCTGTGCGCGTAGGTCCTAGGGCAGCAACACGGCGGGGTGCTGCTATTTGTTCTAGCTGCTGTTTGTTCTAGTAGCAGCACCCACAAACAGGAGCTGCGGGCGTAACAAAAGGAGCTGCGCGTAATAAAACATGCTTCTCATGTTTGAAAGAAAGACCTGACCCGTCGAACATGAAACAGCGCGGTCGGACCCGCGTAGGTGCCCTAGCAACACTGTGCTAAAACACAGAAGTAGTTGCTGCTGCGCCTCTTCTTCGCGTGCATCTTGCTGGATGTAGGTCCCACTCTGGTACAGAATGGGGGTTTCGTTTGTGTTCTGTTTGAAAGAAACACCAGGTCGAAAAGCTGTGGATGACACCGTCATACGGATACTCTCCACCGCTGTTGCATCTAAAATACTATATACGTTGCAATGCGTGAAGCGCCTCTACAGCAGTAAACCGAGGTGGAAGGATAGGCTGGCCCCAGCTTGGGCTGAAAAGTTGCAGTTGGGTTTTATGATGGATCAACGAAAAGTTCAAACTCTAAAAGACGTACCTCGACATGACAGGTTCGCAAAACGCTGAGAATGATCACCACCATTACAGAGAAACGCCCGAATGTTGCCAGTTTGCCAGTTTGGGTCCCTCGCTATGCTGGGCTCTCTCCGTGGCCAAGGTGGCGGAGTACGGATGGCAGCTCAAAAGGTCCCCAACGAATGGGATATACGTGCGGATTGCTCATGACACTGCGTCACCCCTTAAACACTCCGCCAAACGCCCGAAACTCCGCCCAGAACCAGCGCAGAGCACCGAGAGAGAGAGGGAGATACACAAGCACGTACACCGTCTCTCACTCCGCTTTCTCCTTCTCCCTCTCTCGTGCTGCTGCATGTTGGGCGGCTGATCGTTGGCGTGCCAGTCGCAGATGAGTCTTTTGGCAACAGCAGGAGGACCCGCCATGAGCAGCAGCAACAACACTTGCGAGTTGCTTCCCGACATGGGCAGCAGCAGCCGCACCGCCGCCACCACTACCACCACCAGCAGCAAGGACCCGCCGCAGCGACATAGCTGGAGTCGCATGCAGAGCACCACGAGATCAAGGGACCGGTGCGGCTTGGAGGAGTCTGACTACGCCCAGGGCGACTGGCGCATCCCCTTCGGCTACGACTTCTCTCGGAGTACCAGCGAAAACTACCGCGTCAACATCAACGACGAAGACGGTGGCCAGGACGCGGGCAAGGTCTCGGAGTACTACGCCGTGAGAGCGACACGGGACCACAGCTATCACGGGCATTACACCCGCCAGCGGCAGCTGTTCCAAGGTACTGGCAGCTACTGTCGGATTGAGTTACGATCGCGCCTGTGCGTAAAGTACCACCAGCTGTTGTGTGCATCAATGTCAGCAGGATCTACAAATATGCAGCAGGCACATGACAACGCAACCATTTCACCAGAACCAACGCGATTTGTCGCACAGCGTTGTCCTAAATCCTGAACCGGTAGTGGTGTCACGTCACCGTCACATGCGTTCATTCCGAGCAGCCGCGCTGGCCCAGCAGCGTCGGCGAAGTTCATTCGTAATCCCAACGGGCCGTTCGAAGCTCCTGTGTCGAAGACAGGATTCAGCGATGGTTGCGTACTTTCAATAGTCTAGTCTTCCCGCAGTGTTTTTTTGCACCGCTCTCATTCCGAGCACCCGAAAAGGCGGCCGGAACGTCCAACGGGGAGATTAGCAGGACCCAAAAATAGGGTTCGTGGTATGAAAGGGCTTCGTGTCGTTATTAACGTTGGTTTGCGCAACCCAGACCAGACGCCGAATCGAGGCAGCAACTCCCTGATGCGGGGGAATCGCTCGAGAGCAACCAGAAGGTGACGTGGCCACGAAGGAGGTGTTAAATTTATACATACAGCCCAGCCGTCAGAGCCCACACGTGCACATGGCAGGAGGGGGGGGTATGGGGCCTGCGGGAGATGAACCCTTGCTTCTGTGTGTGACCGCGGATTCGAGTGATCAGGCAGGAAAACGCTGATTCAAAGTGATGAAAAACGAGAAACAAAGCAGCAGCAGTGGTCCCGGTATTATGCCGGTCAAACAACGCCGGTCGCCCGTTATGATGCCGGTGAAATCGGCTGGCACAGATGAAATATTCAACTTGTTTCATACTCTGAACATTGCCGGTTGCCCGCGGTAATGTCGGCTGGATCGCACCAGGATTATACCAGGACCAGCACTGCAGTTGCGGTTTTCTGGCGCGTCGGCAACAGCACTATTAGAACAAGTTGCCCACCTGCCAACGGCCAACAGCGCATGCAGAGAACCCACGACAACTGTGCAGTAATGCTGAGCACAATCAGAAGCCCCTTTTAGTCCCAGGAAAGAGTAGGGACATTGGTGGCATCTGTCGCAACAGCAGTGCGCAGAACATGAGCAGGGAAAACTGCTGCTAGTTTAGGTCCACAGATTTGGCATCTGGATATATCTGCGGGTGACAAAAAAGATGCGTGTGCCTCGACGCTTCGGCCACGGCTTGCATTATCCGAGTAGAACATCAGTGTGGTGCTCTAGTCGTGCTCCTACTTTTTTTTTTTTTCCTTTGTTCAACATAACGAATCTATGCATATCTCTGTCCATAGGTTTTTGCTCTCGACGGTTGGTTTGGCAAGGGGCCCAAGAGGCCCGCATATTTTTTTGTCTTCACTTCACACCAGCGCTCACAGCACTTGGTGTGCCGTTCACTCCAACACGTGGTCACACAGAAGAGTTTCTGTCCCTGAGCCCCCCCTGCCCACCCCTCCTGCGGTGCTCTACCTTCGATTGTTAATGCGAGAAGAGTGCAGCACTCTCTTCCCTCTTTGCATGGAGTTGTATTATACCGGTTGTTTGTCTAGTTCAAGCTAACCCTAAGGTATAAAAGATCAGGAATGTTGACGCGAACAAGTAATCGGGCCTCTTCCTCTCCTCTTGTCGTCTGCCTGCCGCTGTTGGAGACGGCTGTATCACAACCACAAGCCACACTCGAAAACATCACTTTGGATGTGCCCGTAAGGACCCTACATTTTTTTTTTTCTTGTGAGAAAACAAATCCATCTCCTCCACTGGTACAGAGTCCGGGACAGATGTGCACTTTAGCTACTGCCGTTCCAACACATATCTGTCATCCACGCGCCGATCATATCCCCCCCTTGTACAACAAATTGCCCTGGTTGCGAAAAAGCAGACTCCCTGGTGACCAATGTGGTGGGGGCGTCGTCCCGGAAGGAGCACCCATGGATCGTCTTTACGGCGGGGGCGATGGGTGCGGGAAAATCCCACACCATCAACTGGTGAGCGCGAGCGACCTTTCTTGTTAATACGTGTGCTTGCGAACTGCATTGTGGCCTTTTGAGCGTGGGCTCTGCTTCAGTGTTGGCGCTGACCCTATCCTGGTCCCACTAGACTGCGCACTCGCGCGCACTCTCTCTGCTGCTCTTTTCACTACCGGTGTTTGTTTCGACACGGGAGTGGGTGTCTTCGCCTCCGCGCGTTTTTTTGTTTTCCTCGCCACAGACAAGAGACAGGGACCAACCAAGAAAACCCCAACAGTAGATACTACGCTTCCAAAGAAACACACGCACCCGATATGAAATTCTTGTTTTTTGTCCCCACGAGTCTTCCTTGCGTCGGGTAGCTCAGGACACACACAAGATGCCCACGTTGCGAATCTACGTCCAGCATTCTTGACCCCCCTCCCCGGCCCGTTCCTCGT